TGTGTGTGCATGGATGAATGCGAGGATAATTGAATGGATATTTACAATGATAAGTTAAGGAACAAATAAGGACTGAGAACCGTTACGTCACATCCACCCACCCACAACGCACGCACGCACGCACACGCACGCACATACACACACACACACACACACACACACACACACACACACGAAATGTAAATTAGATCGAGCAATTTCTGCGTGGTACATCTTGGGTAATGCTAATTTCGGAGATACTATAACTTTAAGTTTCATTACTCAAAAAGTATTTAATTAAGAATGACGTTATTATAGTATTTTAAAGAGCTCTCGAGATAAGCTATAAGAATATGCAATAAAATATAAGAGATTCCATTAAAAAAAATCAATTTAACCTTAACCTGATCTTGATAATGCCATTCAAGATTAAACAGATATTAGCATTAAATTCCTTAAATCTTATAACTTTCGTCTAAAACATTTTTTATCTAAAATGCACTGTATCTGAGATATTAGCCTGGGGCGCTTAAAATGAAATATCCTGTAGATTTAGACAATATAAATGCCGACACTAATTTGGCCTACAGCTTTTCAAAAGCCTCTAATGCTTTCTCATTTAACTCAAAAGAAACGTTTTTTCGCAACAAATCATATAACACTTTAACTATTAACAAAAACTCCTCAATAATCTTTGGGAAATAAGAATACACTCCAGTAAATTCACGCACTTCTCTAACGTATTTTGGTACTGAAAAATTGTACATTGCATCAATTCCTTCTTTAGTTGGGCTTATACCGTTTTCGGAAATGACATAAGTATAATAACTCAGTATATAAAAACTTACGGTTATTGATTCTTAAGTCTAAAATATTATTAACTAATAATCTAAATACTTTTTGCATATGAAGATGATACTTAATTGTGGAATTTGCAATCATAAAATTGTCCATGTATATTACTAGATCTCATAATATTCGGAACACAAGATCGCTAATTGTCCCGCATACGGAAAGTACACACGTGTTTTTAAAATTTTCTTAAATTTTTGCAAAACCTCTTGTTTCATAAAATTTTGCGCACACATGGAACGCGACTTTCCAAGCTTTATTCTTCTCCGATGCTTTCGCTCCTTTGTGACGTGCGGCCTGAAAGTTGCACGTCACAACATTCCGGAAACGCGAACGCGACATATGCATCGAGCAAGTAATATCCTGATAGCAAAATGTCAGCAGTATGCCGGCAGACTGATGGCAGATTCAATCAAAGGATTACAGCAGATTGGCATCAACTGTATACACATTATGCTCACAATCTGCTGGCAGCGCCTGCCAAAATCATTTGACGGCAGACTGATCGCAGAAAATGTATAGATCCTGCTGTGCGCAGTCTGACGGTAGATTGACGGCAGAAGTGCAGCAGATCCTGCTGTGTGCAGACTGACAGCAGATTGACTGCGGAAACGCATCAGATCCTGCCGTTCGCAGTCTGACGGCAGAAACGCACGCAGATAACACAAAATATTTATAAAATTTATTTGATTATTTTTTAAATACTTACCAAAATATTTTATAAATATTTTTGTGACCTTAGATTCAATAGATCATAAATATTTATCATAAATGTTATAAAAATATTTATTAAAATATATACATTTATTTATACACTTTTCTCTTTTCCTGAATTTTACTTAAATTTTTCACTTTATTGTTTCACATGCTACTTAATTCAAGTTAAGTTGTACTTCGAAAATTTGTTTACTATTGCTAAGATTCGAACCTGAGACCTTTGGTTTTTATGTTGTTTACCTTATTTACTGCACCACTGTCACTTTGACTGAGAGTGAAGTACTAAAAAGACGAAAATGAAGGGCATAAAAATGGCAGAATCTGTTGCGTTTCTATCGCCAATCTGCCGTCAGGTTGCTAAATAGGTTCTGTTTAAATTTTGCTATTAGTCTGCTATCAAACCTGTTTAACAGATCTTGTCTAAATACTGCTGGCATTCTGTTGAAATTATTTTATACTACAGAGCCCGTAACAATTCTAACGCCATTCTGCGTACAAAGTCTGCAACAAGAGTTTGGCAAAATCTGTTCCCTGCAGACTTGGCTATTAGGGATAGATTAAGGGGTAGCCGATTTCTTCGCCGAACGCGGAATTATTTTCATAAGATACTTGCCGTTCGGTTTGGCAAGAAAGACTTGTGGAACTCCAAGAAGCGATGAGTTTTGGAATAGAATTGTTCCCGGAGTTTTGAAATCGTATTCTCTAGAATACAGTTAATGTACTCTTCTTTGAAATACTATATTCGCAACTAATGATTCTCGGATAGAAATAAATCGGGGCGGACTTTAAAATTTACTTCACTTATTCATTTATATTCCAAACTTTCTTCAAAAATTTTTTTCATTCTATATACACAAGATGAAGTTATCGGAAAATGAACATTTTATGAGATGCTTCATATTTCGTAATGAAAGGTCTCACAATATAACACAGAATATCTCGGAAAGTTCATTTTCAGGACATGGACAAACGTTTTCGTTCTAATTCCTGATATAAACGGATTGATTAAAGTTTGTAGCAATTCACACTTTCAACCGGTTCCAATATAATATTTCAAATAACTCATAATAAATCGTGTCCTTGGTATCCCATCAAATACAGAACAGAATTTTCTTTTGTTTTATGACTAGATTAAATGTTTGATAATGACAATTTACCCATGAATTTTCATGTTAAAGATTGTAGACTATCAACTTTTCATCACCCTTGACAATTTTCTATAAAAAGACTTTCTACGTTGCTCACTCGTTGTTTATTGAGAAGAGAAGTACTGCCATTCGTAGATTTTTATCGCATCAATGAGTTCTTGTAGAATATACTTTTTTAAAATAGTTCCATCTTTTCCATTTGGAAATAGTTTGTTGCGTTATTCCCAACTATTCTGCATTTTTGCGTTTCTGCCAAATTTGCAGCAAACAATTGCTCTTAATCCTAGTTGTCATATTTCTGAGGGCCTCCAGGACGTTGTTTGTGAAACAGACTGAAATAATTGTTTTTAAACCAAAATGCGCATACAACGCGCAATATAATACTTTCGCTATGAAATGAATAAATCGATTCGCGCGCTTTTGTAGTATTTTTTCTTTGTTGGAAATCGTACAAATTACAATTTCGGTTACGCACTTTATGCGTTGCCATTTTTATACAATACTACTGAACAAAATTTTTTAAAGTTAGTTTATGTGAGGCCTTTTGCCAAACGACATGTTACTTTGAATAGTTATATATCAAAACTACAGAACTGAACTACAAAAAGCAACGGAAAATTAATTAATTTTAAAATTATATTTTAATTATGTCTAAGAGTATCCGGATTATATACAGTACCCTCCATAAATTTGGAAACGCTGATAAAAATAAAGGTATTAAAATGGATATTTTATAATAATTCTGTTTTACACTTACTTTCGGCATTTAGAAGATCGGCATTTATTTCATTCAATAAAGTAAAGTTCCAAGTTTAGGAATCCATTTTCTGTATTGCTGTGCAATGAAGTTTAATGGACTTACAAGCAACCGACGTCAAAATGCTCAATTTTATTTTAATTCTTAGTAATACGAAATTTTTAGAGAAATTTTTTCAAGTAAATTGTATAGAAAACTTCAATCTTTTACACGAAAAGAACTAAAAGTTTTCTCAGACTTTTTCTTGCGTTCGTGGCATGTCTCAAATTGAGAAGAAAATTTTCCATTTTGTTCATTTCGTTTTTATAAAGACAAAATTACATTAGCGATTGGCAATTCACGCTTGACGATTGGAACTGGACCAATTGGAACGAAGCAAATCAATCCTGAAGTTCGTCGATTCGTCAAAATTTAATCTTTAATCATCAATTGTCAATTACATATAGCGGAGTACAGAATTGCGGAATATAATATCTATAACTACTGAATAGTATGAGAATATTATTCGAAATATAAAATTTAAGATACGATGTGCGATCATTTTATTACCTCACATAAATATGTTTTACATATTTCAGGAATGTAAGAAACTAAATACCATTAATTTACGACTAAATATATAGCTCAGAAAGATATGTATTATTTATCTGAATATCGTTAAGAATAGACAAATGCGTCTACAACAATACTATACTAAAATGAACAATACTATACTATATTATACAAAAATATTATACAATATACTATACTAAATTAAAGCAATGATCAAACAACTTATGATTTTCATCCTTTGATTAGGTCGGTTATGTGATATTCATGAATAAATAACGAAATACGCATTTCGGTAAATTTACTAGTCACATGGCTTCTATATGGCCTACAACTGCAGAATTTGTTTTTTCTATACAATCGATTTCTTATTGTACCTGTTACTTCTTGTATATTTTGTGTATTGCAATCAATTGTATTTTCATCATTAAAGATTAAAAGTAATGAATTAAAACTACTATTGTTGTTACAGTTTCAAGCCATGATCTTATCAAGCACATATTTATGTCAAGTATTATGATCACATATGTAATGTTCTAATAACCAGAAAGTTTGGATAGGGAAGTAAAGATCTTTTTTTAACATTATCTAGATCTTCCATTACTAAATATCTGTTAATAAATGTAATCACATTATGATAAGGTCTAGCATCAGGAAATATGCTGAACCAGAATTTGTTTAAACATAATTGCAAAATATTGCTATTCATACAGGCGATATTAATGTTCAGTAATAGTAAGCACAGCTTTTTGCAGTGATCCTTATATTCTAGATTACATAGCATTTGGTGATCATCACAAAAATAAGCTGAATAGCAAATGATGCAGAGCTTTATGTTTATCCATCGGCGACCCTTATAATACTATTTTGCGCATAATGTCACATCTATTACGTACGGATGTATACCTGACAGATTTAAATTATTAAAATTTCCTTCCGTGCTTCTCTCTATTCTTCCCAAATATGATATATATTCCAATT